CTGGAGTCCCGGGATCGAGTCCCGCATCGGGCTCCCTGCTCGGCAGGGAGTCTGCTTCTCCGCCTGACCCTCCTCCCTCTCATGCTCTCTGTCTCAAATAAATAAATAAAATTAAAAAAAAAAAAAATCTGGGGCTTAATCACCACAGTCTGGTGCTGCCATCACTCTTTCCTGATGACTTTATCATGGCTCCTGGAAGGATGGTGGTGGTGACAGTGTCGGGAGCAGGGGTAAGCCTAAAGAAGACCAAAACAGGGACTCTGGACCAGTGATCTGAGGGTATGTGAGACCGGGCTGGTGGGGATCACCTGTAGGACTCAGCACCTGACCTCAGAGAGCTCACAGTTTCTTGCAGAGTTAAGACCTCCCACCCAGGAGATGGCACAAGGCAGTGTGAGGTAAGCCCCCACAGGAGAGGTACACACAAATATCCCAGCAATTGAGAGGGGGCAGAGGTCCTCTGGGACTGGAGGAATCAGGGAAGCTTCACAGGGAGGAGAGCCTAGCTGACTTTTAAAGAAAGAACAGGATTAGACAGGCCACCAGGCAGGGCAGCATCTAGTGGAGGAAAGAGCATGAGTAAAGGGTTGGAGGTAACAACAAAAACCCGATACATCTCGAGAATGGCGAGGAGGTGAAGGTAGCTGGAGGCAGAGCAGAAGAGAGGAGATCCCTGTCAGAGTGAGCAACACTTCTGGGGAAGTAGTGGGGGGCCAGGTTGAGGAGGACCTCCAATGCCAAGCTGAGGCAGGGAAGCCCAAGAGACCACGTGAGAGGAAAAGCTGTTTTTTGTTTTTTTTTTCCTTTGCTCCTTTTTGGGCTTCTATTCTTGCTAGACCTGCACCCCCGCCCTACACAAACATGCTTTATCGTATGTATGTCCTCCTTGTAAGGCACAAAGAGTTAATGATATCTTTGGAGTCTTCCAGCACAATAGATAATATCTAAGGAACTCCTGGGCAAAGCCATCATGTGCATATTCCAGACCACTGGCGCTAGACATCTCAACGCCAAGACCAAGGAGTGAGTGACTCCAAGGAGTGAGTGACTTAGGATGGACCTCTGGACCCTGACCTTGTTCTGACCAGTTCCTGGATGCCTGAGAGGACACGTGCATCAGACCATGATCATCAATAAATCCCCCAGACCCCAGGCAAAGATAAGACTCATGCTCCTTTCCTTTCTGAGTCTCCCAAATGTTCTGTATCTGCTGTTTCTATATCCTCAATAAACCACTTTCACCTCCTGCTGGATCGAGTTTGATTTCCATCCTGCATGAAGCCAAGGACCCTCTTGGCTAGTCCTGCAGGACCCCCTTTGGGTCCTCAGACCCCGCCTGCCTGCATCAAAGCGAAAAAGTTGGGACCTCATTCAGTAGGTAATTGGAAGCTGTTGAAAGTTTTTAAATCGCTTGAATGATCCAAATTTCTTACAGAAGCTTACAAGACTCTTGAGGATGTGGCTCTACCTACCTCCTCAGGTGTCTCTCCATTCCATCCCTCACCCTTCTGTGCTCCAGCCTGAATATAAGACATTCTTCACAATCCCTGTACTCCTGGCTAAGTCCTATCCCTCAATTCTCAATTTTAATATCTCTCTAAGATCTCTAAGAAGACTTGCTGACACGGTCCCATTTCCCAGAAGCCTGCGCAGGTGCCCCCTTTCAGGGTTCCCACAACCCCCTTTTTCCCCTCTTAGAGCGCATATCGCTGTGCTGTAATTCTTCATTTGTCGGAATCCTCCGCTAGACTGTGATTTAATTTGAGGCTAGGGACAGTATCTTGCTCACCACCGTGTCCCTAAGAACCAGCATAGGGGCAGTAAAGTGATGACGGATGGAGGGGCTGGGCTGGAGGCCGGGAGGACCAGTGATCACTCAGGTTCCTCCCCGTTCTCTGTCGGCGAGCTTCTGAAGGACAATGGAAAATCACAAGTGTCAACAGGTATGGGTTGGTAGAAAATGTGCGCTTAACTTGAATGACCAGTTTCATATTCTCACAGAGCGCCGAGTGGGGGTAATCAAAAAAGGCTCAGACCTTCCCCCCAATCCCCGGACCTCCCTGAAAATAAAAAGAAACCACGGCTATTTGTAGGCACGCCCGGGGATTATTTGAGGAATGGTGAGGCGGAGGGTTACTAACCGGAACTCTAAGCAATAGCCCTCCGCCCGAGCCTTGTAATCGTGGCGGCGACGCCTCAGACCACCAGGGGGAGGAATCGCGCCGCATCCCGGGCCTTCGGCGGTTTCATCCAACAATGAAGGGCCGCTTGGAACTCTGGGGATTGTAGTCTTAGGGTCGCAATGCTCCATCTTGCGCGATGCACCTAGGGAATTGTAGTTCCAGGCGAGAGGAGGGGAACGCTTTTAGGCGTCAATGATGAGTTCTGGAAACTACACCTACCAAAGGGCCACGAGCACCGCAGTAGTTTCTGGTTTCCGTGGAGTTGACCTTCTGGGTTACTTCTGAGGGCTCAACTTGACTGGGTAAGTTGGTTTGGAGAAAGCTCTTGTTCTGAACTGAGCTATCAGCCGACTGTTTCATCCTCCAGCCGGGTTTGGGGGCTGCTCGCCTCATTCCCAGTAACTCCGCATTAATCCTTCATCCTTTTCTGTTTCCTATTCAGACACCTCCAATATCTACCGGCACCCTTAACACTCCCACTGTCAGCTCGCGCCTGCACTCCCGGCGCCCCTGGACTCCCACTCTGAGCTCTGGTGGTAGAACCCAGCCCCCCACAGCCCCAGCCGTAGCACACAACGTGACCTCCGCGAAACCTGGGCTTCTTAGGCACCACGCCTCCTGTGTGCTTCTCTCTTCCCTTCACTTTCCGCTGTTTCATGCTAGTGGAAGAAGGGTCGCCATTCCTTCTTTCCACTCCGTGGAAGAGCCCGGACTCAGCCGACCCGGGGTCTAGTCCACCTCTGCAGCTCACTCGCTGTGTGACCTTGGGCAAATCAAGCAATCTCCCTGGGACTCCGCTCTTCATTTACAAAATGGAGATGGCAGTTGCTCTGTCAGTCTTAAGATGAGGCTCTTTTGCGGAGCCAATAAGCTAATATGTATGAAAGAGCTCTTTTAAACTGTAAAGCCTCCACAAGCGAGAGAGGTTATTTTTATTATCATTATTAATGCTCTCGAACACTCATCTTGGGTCCTTTTCTATCTCTGCCCCCTTGTTGCTCAAGCCTGCCCCTTGAGTGCTTGGTGTCTCCATTATCCAAGAGCAGGATATTTCCTCACTTCTTCCAGACTAAAGAGCTTTAAGTCTCCAGAGAGCTTTGTCTGAAAGGAAGCCCCCGAGAAGTGCTTCTCTTGGACTCTGTCCTGAAATAGCCAGCGATGAAAAGTGCACACAGCCGGTGAAAGGGTGGTTGGTTTCAGCTCACTGGAAACAGGACCCTGGCAGGAGACAGGACACAGCTGCATGGTAGGCACTGTCCATCTCCTGGTCTCTTGTGGGCCTTTTTAGTACACTCTGACTTTCGCTGCGGTGTTTCAGACTCAAAAAGGCTGGGAGGAAAGAATCCATTTTGTCAAAGGGGTTTTAATACAGAAAAAATGGAAGAGACCTTGACCCCTTGGCCGGGTATGATGCAATAGCATTATTAATTAATTTCTAACATTTTGTGAGCACTTAAAATGTACCAAGCCCTAGACAATATCACTTTTCTTATTTACTTATTTTTTTAAATTTTTATATATTTCCTCATTTAAATTTAACTTTTGAAGTGTCGTCATTTTACTTATAAGGAACTTAGGCTCGGAGAGGTCATGCTATAACTATTGTAGTTAGAGCTACCATCTCTCGTTATAGTGCCTTCTACATGTTAGGTGTTTTATATACATTATTTCATTTAATCCTCATCGACAACTTCATGAGTGCTATTATTTCTGTCATATGGTTAAATTCTCAGAGGCTTAGAATTTAAGGAACTTGCTCAAGATCGCAGCCAATTAAGAATTGGAATTCAGACTGTCACCAAAGCCTTTTCTTTTTACACTATACTATATAGTGTTATTTTGGGGTAAAAAAGATTAAAGAATTGAGAGGGTTTAAATCAAAGCCAAGTAAAGGAGCATTTCGTGGGTCCTTACTACATAAGAAAAGCATGAAGGTAGATGGTTGGGCCTACAAAGAAGTATAAAACACAGCCTTTATATGGTATGTATATCCAAATAAATGAGGCATAAGTGTGTAAAAATTAAATCAGATTCATTGGATAAGTTAATTATTGAGACCAGTTCTATGCAGGGCACTGCATTAAGCCTTGTGACTGGCAGAAACATGCTTCTAGGTGGCCATGGGGATTGAATCAAGTGAAATCATAGTCATTATCATTTCATTACTATAAAATGGTGGGCTGGAACATTGTATACACTTAGTAAATGTTTGTTGCATGGATGCATCTCTGAATAAAAAGTCCCAGATAAATAGGGACCAGAGGTTCTCAGACCTTGAATAAAAAGGACCAGAGGTTCTCAGACCTTGCTGGTGAGAAACATGGGAAGCTTTTAAAAACTGACCTCTGGGGGCACCTGGGTGGCTCAGTAGTTAAGCGTCTGCCTT